TGGCTACTGGGTGGAGAATGGCATGCAGGGGACAGAGAAGCTGGGTGACCAGCAGGGAAGGGTGCTGCACTGGTCCACGCTGCAGAGATAGGGGTTTGGACCAGGGCGAGCCAGTGGATGGATTTGAGCGATTTTGGAAGCAGAACCAGTGAGTTTTGCTGAGACCTTCTCTGGTGCAGAACAGTGATGAGGGTGTAAAAGCCAGGCTGGGGGTCTCATAGGAGCAGCAGCCACAGCAGAGCTTCCTGGGCCCTGGGACTTGCCTCCTCCAGTACCCAGGCTGGGAGGGAGGGGAAGGGATAGGTCTCTGAGAGTCTATCTCGAGGGAGGGCTGAGGGGATCTAAGCAGTGTCAGGTCTTAGCAAATTTCCAGCGAATTCCCCTCATCCTTGACTCTAAGATAAGGCTGCAAAGTTTTTTCCCACCTTTCTAGACTTTCTTCTGCACACACATGCACTGGCACACACACACACACACATACACAGACACACGAACACATACGTTAATTTTAAAAAACGAGATGCTAAATGTTCCATGTGGATTATCTCATTTAATCCTAGGTGCTTTTATCTCCACTTTGTATTTTAGGAAACTGAGGCCCAGAGAGGATCTGTACTTTCCCTAAGGTCACACAGCTGGCAGTCTTGCTTAGCTCCACAGATTCACTCTGCACCTTCAGCATCATTTACTGCTGGGGAAGGCTCGCCATGTCCTCAGTGGGGGCACTTGGGGCTGCAGGGCAGCCGGGGTTGGAATTCTGGGCCGGAGGCCCGATCTGGCCCATCCTTCTGCTGTGCCGTGAGACTCAAGCTCTGGGGTCAAATTCCAGCCCCAGGAGTCCTTGTTAAAGCTTTAAAAGGGGCCGTGGAGATTCTATTGCCATTTAATTGTGGCTCTGCCCTTGAAGCTGGATCCCAGCTCCCAAGGTTCCCAGCTGTCTGCAATAGGCAGCCTCGCCTTGGGTCTCTCTCGCAAAGCCCAGGGGACGGAGGCCGGCTGGGAGGTCCGAGACCTGGGCCCCTCACCAGCTGTGTAACCTTGGCAGTTCCCACCTCTCTCAGCCTTGGTCTCCTCTCTTTTAAAGCTCCTTTCAGCCCCAATGTAAGCCCCTGATTCTTCCCCTAATCGGGGAGGGTGGGATCTGCAGTTTGCTGGGGAAGGGTGTGGCGGGGGAGAGGAGGAACCAGAGCAGTGAAGAGGGCTCTGAGGCCTGTAGCAGGTTAGGGAGCGAGTGGGGTGGAGGTAAAGAACAGATTCTGGAGTCTGCAGACCTGGATTCAGATCCCAGCACAGAGCAGGTGCAGGTGCAGGGAGCTGTGCTCAGGACAGCCGTGTTTGGTTTTATGTTCTGCTGTTGCCGACATGAAAGTCTTAATTTTCTGAATGGGAGTTGAGCATTTTTATGTTGCACTGGGCCAGCCCTGGAACCAATTATTAGCCACGTGTCCTTGGCAAGTTACTTCGCCTCCTGGATCCTCAGTTTTCTCATCTGCAAAATGGAGCAGTGCTGCCACCACCTTGAAGATTGTTTTGAGAAGTAAGTGAGAGACTTTAGGCAAAGGGCCAGGCAGGGTAAATCCATGATAGGTGTCAATCACTGGCAATGAGGACAGTCGTTCCTTATGGTCTGACGGGGAAAATCTCGCAGGAGCAGCAGCCACAGTCTCTCTCCAGCCTTGTCCCTATGCTCTCTGGACACTGGACAGGACACTTCAGGCCAAAGATAAAACCCTCACTGGGAAGCAATCATTCCACCATCCCTACACCTCTCCCTCTGCCCGTGGCTGTACTGGGTCAAGTGGTGTAGGGCCCGAGCTGCTGGAAGTCTCCCCACGAAATGCCTCCCGCAGTCACGCCCTGTAGGACCCTCACTGGGCCTGTATCCAAGTCCCAGCAACCCAACCTCCCAGACGGTTCTGTAGTCCCGGTTTCCTGGGTTAACATCTCAGCTCAGCAATTTCCCAGCAGTGAGACCTTGGGCAAGTTACTAAACCTCTGGGGGCCTCAGTTTCCCACCTGTGAAGTGACGGCTCTACCTCGTGGGTGTGTCGTATTAAGTTAACCCCTGGGAAAGTGCTTGGAACTGTGTCAACAAAGGTTAGCGACTACCAGGGCGGGCCTCGCTGCCTCTTGTCCACTCTGAGCAAGAACACCTCCAAAATGTCAGCCTGACCACCACGCCCTCAGCAGAAACCCATCAGCTGCTGTTGCCTTCAGGATAAAGCCCGAAGTCCCTGGCCTGGCTTATCTGGGCCTCCCTGTGGAGAGCTCAGCATCCATTTCTCCTTCTCCGAGTAGGGATTTGCCCTGGGAAACCTGCAGCCCCCAATGTGGTGTGACAGCCTCCTATGATATGACTGACAGTCAAACCAAGGGGCGGGCACGTGACCCAGGCTCAGCCAACTAGGCGACGTCTCTAAGAAACCTGAGGATGGAGAGGCCGATGGAAAGTGGTTGGGGAGGGTTCATTTGGGGGGTAGCCCCTGAATTCCTGCTGCCTGAATCTCTAGGGGTGTCCTGGGCCCCTGTCCTCGCCTAGCCTGGGTCTTTAGCTTTCCTTCTGATTCTGTGCCCTCCCTCACAGCCTTCCATGGATGCCCTCTTTGCCCAGCGTAGCCTGGTGGGTTTCTGTTGCAGGCAACCAGAGAGCCTGGCCCATATACTATGGCTCCTGCTGACAGCTTCTCCACTCTCACCCCAAACCACTCCCACTCTTTCATCTTCTGTTTTTAAGGATCTGCCTACATACAGTTCTTACAGGCCACGCAGGCCACTTTGTGCCTCTGAACCTTTGTCCCTGCCGTGCCTTCTACCAGGAATGCCCTTCCTACCTTACTTCTTTATTCATTCTTATTCCCAAGAACCACTTCAGACACTGTCANAGCCTGGCCCATATACTACGGCTCCTGCTGACAGCTTCTCCACTCTCACCCCAAACCACTCCCACTCTTTCATCTTCTGTTTTTAAGGATCTGCCTACATACAGTTCTTACAGGCCACGCAGGCCACTTTGTGCCTCTGAACCTTTGTCCCTGCCGTGCCTTCTACCAGGAATGCCCTTCCTACCTTACTTCTTTATTCATTCTTATTCCCAAGAACCACTTCAGACACTGTCAACTCCAATGCTTCTCCCCACCCCAGGCTGGCTCTGACCTTCTGGGCAGCCCTAGACCCTGGGCTCTCTCCTCGGCACCAGCATTCCCTGCCTCGTCTGGACCCAAGGCCGGAACCAGGCCCATTTGCCTTCATTTCTCAGTTTGTGCTCAACACACGTTTGATGGGCTCCAGAACCATGGAGGGTCAGACAGGGACAGCTCTCCTGGGACTTGCTCAGTGCCTCCTGGGCTGGCAGGGACTGAATCCACTGCATACTGATGAGGGGTCATGGAGGGAGCTGCTGAGGAGTAGAAGGAGAAGCTGTCCCATCCAGAATCCCAACGAGCCCAACCCCTCTCGCCTTGCCCTTGCCCCAGCCCCTGCCCCAGCCCAGTCCCAGCCTTTGATCCGTAAGGCAGAACCAGGTCCCAGGCCTAGGTCCTGAAGGCTTCTTTAGCTGGCCCACTCCCTGTTCCTGGGCCAGGCATGGTCTTGAGCCGTGGGCAGGGCTGAGCTTTCATGGGTTGCTGAGTACCCCATCTGGGTAAGTGCCCCAGCTGCCACCGCCTGAAATCAGGCAGAAGTCTGTAAAAGGGAACATCCCAGGCCAGGCCAGGGGAATGTGGGCAGCCCACAAAGTGGGGGCATCAAGAATGACTCCACTTTACCTACAGGTGGCCAAGCTTGAGAGAAAGACAGAAATAGCCCAAGTCTTCCCTAAGGTCACCGATGCTCCTCTCCCCGTTCTCCTTGGGAACTGAACCAGGGAGATGGGGGTGAGGAGAGCCACAGAGCCACGGAGAATCTGGCCCCCCACCCACAGGTGGATCCTGCAATAGATAAGTCACAAGGACAGGGCCAGCATTGTGATGTCACGGCCCAGGTGTGGCTTTGTGCTCCTGGAGCGCAAGTGAGTCAGCTAGGCCCTTCCTCCTCCCTGCGCTCGTGTGCGTCTGCCTGACGCTCGGGGCTGGAAAAGCTGAGCATGCAGCACCCCACCTTCTCTCCCCGCTCCTCCCCGTGCTGGGGCTGCCCAGGAGGTGGTCAATGAGTGACACCCTCAGGGACACTGTCTTCTCTTGGTCATAACTGGGAATCAGACTTAGGCGAGCCGCGCAGAAACTCTTGGCAAGGCTGGGTCAAAACTACATGGTAACCAGACCACCTTCCAAGCTTGACCATGAGCTTACTCAGTGTCTGTCTCAGACCCCACTCTGGCTCGATAAGCTCTGTGTATGCTCAGAGCCTGTGACATTGGTTAAATGCATAAATGGGTGGAGGGATGGGTGGGTACAGATAGATGACAAAGATGCTTTCTCCCTATGTGGGCAGCTTCTGAACCAGGCCCCAGCGCTGTCCCTAGGACTCTGTGATGTGACTGTCAGTCACACCAAGGGGTGGGCACATGACCCAGGCTCAGCCAACGGGGTGTCCTCTCTAAGGACCTTGATTCTTGAGGATGGAGAGGCAGATGGAAAGCCGTAGAAACCAGCCCCTGTTGGAAGTCCCAGGCATCTTCCAAGATTCGATAAGGGCTTCCCAGCTCTCAGGACTCAGTGGCGATGGGGTGGTCCCAGTTATGGGGCTGCAGAGCCATAACGCTGCTATGGAATGGCACATCTGGCTCCTCCAGAGCTAAGGTGCAGCTCAAAGACCTCAGGCTTTGGATTTAATGAATCCCGAGTCCAAATCCAGTCCTGTTGTAGGTCCCTGAGCTGGTCACCGGACCCCTCTGAACCTGTTTCCTTTTCTATGAAGTGAGAGTGGAACCTGACCTCCAAGGACTGTCGGGAGTGTCAGAAAACCAAAGCTGCTGCCCCGATTGTTGCTGTCACCATCAGTCTTCTTTCTGCCCAGTCCCCATGGTCCTTGTCCTCCAAAGAGGCCTGGAATGGTGAGGGGCAATGCCAGTGGCCATGGACACACATCAGGGGTCCGGTCTGAGCAGTACTGGCGACAAAGACAGATACCGGCAGGTGCTGTTACAGGAACTCTGCCAGCTCCAGGCCAAGTACGAGCTGTTCCCTGCTGGGCCCCCTGTCTCATTCCCTGTACCACCTGCAGGGGGCTGAGTGGCTGGGACTGAGCTAAAATGCCAGGCCAGGAAATGGGCAAGAAGGAGAGTGGCACCTGGAAGTAAATTGGGAGGGTTGGTGAGGGGGGTGGGGGTTGGTTCCTGTCCCTTGACCTCAGACCCTGGGCCAGTCCCAGCCCTCCGTAGGCAGGGTCTCCCATCACGAAGGCAGGGCTGTGGGTGGTCACCCCTGTGCACCTGTCAGCCCAGCCCCCTAAAGTCAACCTGTAACGTTGTCACCTGGCTCTGAGTGGAGACCCTGGGTCCTCGCCCCCCAGGCGGCCCTTCAATTTCTGGCTGCCCACAGATGCCCGAATTAGATGTAAATGGATGCGCCTGAGCAATGTTTAAGGAAAAAAGGCCCAACCCTTCCATAAGATTTGATAAGGGCTTCCTTCCTCAATAAGGTTTAGCACTGTGGCTCATAGGGCCCCATGTAGTATTCATAAGAAAAGACAATTTCTTCCTGCACTTTTCAGGACTGTGTGGATGAGAAAATGAGGCCCAAGAGGCAGAGTAGCTTTCCCTGGGTCACTCTGCAGTCACTCAGAGATACGCACCCAGTCAGCTCAGCCTGCTGTCCGGGGCAGGCCTACTCTGCCCTCTGCCCTTGACTGCTGACCTTGACTAGGCCCAGAGTGGCACCTATTGGAGACTCATCTTACTTAGGGATCTCCTGAGAGTCATACACGGCTGGGCAACAGCATGTGGCTGTCTCCCTTCTAAGGGCTGCGGGGACCCCTGACCTCAGACTGAGGTGCTAGGTTCCCCAGGCGTAGTCCCGGCCAGGTATGAGGGAGGGTATCTCATTACCCCACCACAGATGGGCACAGAGAGCTGCAACACCTTCCAGGTCACCAGCTAATAGGGGCTTAAGCCACCCAGCACCTGCTCGGCCTCCAGGCGAGGGACTGTAGACCCCTGCGCCAGAATAAGCCAGTTTCACTCTCCCTGGGGCCCCTACCTCACAGCCTGACCACAGGCACCTCTTTGTGGCTCAGTTTGCTCAGCAGTAAAATGGGCTGGCCAGACTGAAGTGAGTGGCCCACTGATGGGGTAGTGGCCAGCTAGCACAACTCTGAGCAGGACATCACAGAGGGTGGTCTTGCAAGGGGTCGCTATCTGAGAGCCTCCCAACCACATTCTCACGTCTGGCTCACACCATCCCTGCAATGTCTCCACAGGCAGAGGAAGCTGAAGAGGGAGGTTGAGAGGCACAAGCTTTTTGAAGACTATTTGATTAAAGTTCTTGAGAAAATCCCCAAGGGTATGTATGTAGCTTCCTCAGAAAGCCTGTCCTGTCTGTGGCCACTTCCTAGACTCAGGAGTGGAGCATGGTGTGTGGCCTCACTGGGCCTCGAGCTCATCTCAGAATGGGGATCCACAAAGGCCGATGGCACTGTGTTTGGGGAGGGCACAGATGCTGAGCCAGCCTGCCTGGGGAACCCCAGGCCTGCCAGCACCAACCATGTGGCATATGGCAGGTTCTCAAGGTCTTGGTTTCTGTATCTTACAATGGGAACAGCAATAGTTATGTGGATTAGATGAACTCATCTTTTATAAGCATGGGGCCTGGCATTTATCTCCACCCTGTAAATGTGAGCTACTATTACTAGTATTTTGTTTGGCTTTGATTTGTGTTTTTCTATTTTCAACTAAAATTACACAGACATCTGAATGGGTTTTTGTATTTTGTTTGGTTCTATCATGGTTTATACCAAAGTCCACTGTTACAAGTGCTGAAAACTTGTTAGGAAAGGGAAGAGGGGAGACAAACATGTATTTTTATTGTCATCGTATTATCACCTCAACATCATCAATAATAAAAATAACTATTACCATTTATTAAATATTTACTCTATACTAAGTTTTTTAGTAAATCTTTTTTACCCTGCCTTATGAGCTTCAGAGAACTGTGTTATCCATGCTCAGAGAAGTTAAGGAACGTGTTCAAAATCACCTAGCCAGGAAGTGGTGGGTCCGGGTCTCAGACTCTGGTCTGACTTTACAGCCACCGCACTAAGTGCTGTGGAGCTCTGGGAACCCCAAGAACTCAGCCCTGGAAATCCTCAGAGAAGGCTTCACAGAGGAGGTGGCCTCTCATGGGGCTCAAATGAGCCCTGCAAAGGGGAATGGCATTGCAGGCAGAGAATATAGCACAAACATAGGCTGGAGTTAGGGCCCTGCATGGTGGGTTTGGGGATAGTGAGTTCCAGTGTGTTGGAGCACCAGAACCTGGCAGGGGTGCTGGGAGATGTGACTGGAAGGTTGAGCAGCACCAAAGAGCCTTAAGCACCAAGCCAAGGAAGGGTGTAGAGCTCCAGGTCAAGCATGGGGCTTAAAGCAAACCCAGCACTAGTGCTGCTTCTGGTAGCTTCATGGTCTGGGGCCTTCCTAATTCAGCAACTTAACCCTGTTCAGCCCATCCAGAATGAGTGACTATCAGAGCTGGGGACCCTGTCACTCAGGATGGCAACAATTCCTGTCCTCTTCTTTCAGGCTCCCACAATCAGCAGTTTCTCCTCGGGGGCAGTCTCCTGCCTCCCCAGGCAGCCTGGATCCAAAATCTGAGACCCCATTAGGCAGCCTTTCAATGTTGATGCTTCGTTCAAAGGGGTGGGAGGTAGGTGATGGGGCCTGACAGCTGCTGTCTGACAGTGAGTCCTGCATGCACTGTCTGGCACCCCTCAGTTTTGGGGCTCCAGCTGGAGTTCTGGGGCAACAGCACAAGCTCGGTCTACCTTATTAGCATCACTCACTGCAGGGGGCAAGCGAGGGCCAGCTCTCCTGCCCACCTGTCCCACTATAGCACTGTCTCCGTAGGCTCCAATGAAAGGGAGGAGCCAGAGGAGGCCGTGGTGGAGGCCATGGTGGAGCACTATGGGAAGCTCTTCACAGTCGGCCAGGACATCCAGAAGCGTCTTGAGGCCTTCTCCAAGATGAACCAGGTCGTCCACCAGAGCCTGGAGTCTCTAGAAGAGATCCATAGAGCTCTTATCCCGGTAACAGCTGCCTGCAGCCTGGGCCATTCCCCTCGGCCCAGAGAACTGGAGTCATAGGGGCCCCTCCCCTCTGCACCCCTGGGGAAGGCCTGGAGCAGAGATGGGCTGCTGAGAGGCTCTGGGTGGGGCTGTCACTCCAAAGACTTTCTCTGAATCCGTTTCCCTCCCCTTCTGCTGGCTGACTTGGGGTTTCTCCTGAGGCTCAGGTTATGTTTACAAAGTGATCTTCGTGGTAGAAAAGCCATGAGTTCTGGATTCAGACAAACCAGGGTTCAAATTCCAGCTCAACCTCTGACTAGATGCATGACCCTGGGCAAGTCTGTACCCTCTCTGAGCCTCAGTTTCTTCATCTGTCAAATGGGGGCAATGCAACTCAGCCGCTAGGTTGTTGAGGGACACTGAACTCACACTGTTTCAAAGTAAGTGCCCCCAAGAAGTTCTCTCTCTCTCTCTTTCCTTTTTGGTTAATCTTGTTATAAACAGAACTTTCACCAGGAAGGATGGGCATTCCAGGCAGAAGAAACTGCCCCGTCAAAGGCATGGCATGAAAAATGTGCAATCAGTAGCTGGAGCCTGGGGACAGGGAGAGGAAGGGACACCAGAGGGAGAGGAAGGCTGATGGGCTGGCTGATTCTTGCAAAGGACCATTGCGTGACGTTTGCCGCCAGTCTCTGCCCCCTAGTGACAGCGCTGAAAACCTACACCGTTTTGTACCTGTTTTCCTTTGGAGAACAGGGACCCTTTATGGGTGGGGGCACCGTGATAGGCATTTTACATGCTTAATCTCATTTAAATCTCCCCCAGCACCTCCAGGTAAGTGCTTCTATTCCAAGGGCAGGTGAGTATGTTAGTGCAGGGTCGGCTCCCTTCCTTATTTAAAATTTTAACGTTTTGTTCATCATGGACTTTTTTTGCATTAACTTCGACTTCTTAAAAACATTGCATTAAAATAATACTTATCTTAATTGCTGAGTTTTTTGATTCCTTCTTAAATTTAACACCTTAGTCCCAGCCATGCTCTTCTTTCCATTTTCGAGGTGAGGAAACTAGGCTCAGAGTAGTGAGGACACCGTGTGTGTCCTGTGTCTTCCAAACACAACCCATGGGGCCTGGAGGTGGGACTGTGCCCAGCACAGTGCTGTGGCCACAGGCCTGCACCCAGAAGGCCGCTCATGGCCTTGCTCCCCTGTGTCTTTGCAGTAGCCCCGTGAGGCCAGGAGGGCACAGACTGTGGCTCTGGTTATGATGAGGAAAACGGGGCTCTGGGGGCCCAGCCAGCCTGGACATGCCCTCTGCTGCATCTCCTGGTGCTCCGAATGGCCCGGAACACCCAGAATTGTCCCCGCCTCCCATCCCATCATCACTCAGACTGTCCTGGGAAGGGAGCTTCTCAGGACCTGGGCGGGCTTGCTGCACTGAAGTGACCCAGCCCCTCTCACCACAGAACCTCAAGATCCGGCTGTGTCAGCTGCAGAAGAGGTGTCACAGCTGGCAGAAGCAGCAGTGGCAGTCGAAATATGATGTCACCTACCGGAAAGACACGGGCAGCTATAATGTGAGTCCAATCTGCTGGCCTGGGGGCTGGGGCAGGGGCTGGGGGCTGCTGTCTCCTCACCCCTCAACACACACACACACACACACACACACACCACTTACCTACTTGCTCTCTGTGGTGACTGTTAGCTCTCAAAGGGCTTCTCTAAGATGGGAAAACTGAGGCCACTGGTAGTTAAGGACCCAGCTCCACTGAGAACCAGAGCTGAGATGCCCTGGCCCAGTCCCAGGGCCTGGCATATGCTGGGCGCTTACTCGGTCCTTCTATCATGCTTGTGATTAATAACAAAATAATGACATTTAAGTGAGCTGTTGTTGCGCACCAGCTTCAGTAATTCTTCTTTTTGGTCATTACCAGGGAGTGTTTAGCACAAGGCCTACTCCAGAAAGGCACGCCTAACTATTGCTCGGTTCTTACCCACACCTCTTTCACAGATGAGAAAAGCGATGCTCAGGAGAGTAAGCCATGGTCGAAGTTCATGACCAGGGGCTAGGATTTCTGCGCTTAAGCTCTCAAGCTGCTTCTTATTGGCCTTGGGAATATGAACTAATTACCCCCCTGACCAACCCTTTCACCCAGTCCTCACCTACCAGACAGGGAACTGTGTCCTTCCAGCCCCAGGGGCTGCTGGGGGGCACAGGAAGCAAGACCTGGGGCGCAGGCTGCTCCGGGCACACTCCCCCTTGGCAGGGTGCAGTCAGTGAATGTAGGACCTTTTCAGGCCTCTTGGGATCCTAATTTGAAAGATATGAAAGTTGGGGTCTGTAGGCTGCTGACCTCCGACCAAGGAGCTTGGAGAGGGAGTAGATTGGCCACAGTATATAGAGCCCCTTCTGGGTCTTTCTAAGGTGGGAAGCTCTGCTGCAGCTGATCACCACCCTGGAGGCCTAAAAAAGAGCATTCAGGCGCTGCACAGACTGAAGCACGCTGGGTGCCTCCAGGCCCCTTCCCAGGTGCCCCAAGTGTGGAGCACAGACATCTCAGGCAGGAGGACCCTCAGACCTGGGGGCGGAGGGGCTGATCAAAGCCCCTTTGGGAGTGGAGCGCAGACCGGGAGGGGAAGGTAGCTCCTGGCTCCAGGACGCTTCTCTGACCTGAGTGAGCTGGGGCCAGGGGGCCAGAGGATGCTGGGGGAGGGCCTGAGCCACTGCCTCCCCCACTCCTGCCCCTCCTCCTCTCCCTCCTCCTCTTGCAGAACCAGCTGCTCAACTACGTGCGAACAGCCATCGACAACATGGCTCGGCAGTGCTGCTCCTTTGACTGTGTTGTGCCCGTGAAGACCATGGGCCTCTTCTCCAAGCTCAGCCTGATTCAGGTGACGACTCCCTGCCTCCCAGCCTGGCCGCAACCTCAGCCTGTTCTGGGCCTCGGCTCATGGAGCATTTGCATTTAGGCCCCTGCTAGCCCCTTCTGGTGCAGTAGGTCTCAGGGTCTCTATTAGTCTCTCAGCAAACTTGGCATGAGCACCTATTAGGTGCAGGGTTGGAGGTGGGTGTCAGGGAACTCCTGCCCCGCCTGGTCTTATGTGTAGCGCCACCCTGACACATCATCTCACACACACACAGTGTACACACTCATACAGACATTCACGTGTGCTCTTCTGCACACCTAACAGTACACATGAACATACACGGACACACCCGCAAACACGCACACCAAGATGCTGAGCTACCTGGCCAAGGACAAGTTTTTCAATTTAAATTTAAGACTCTCAGTCACCCTAGCCAGTTTGGCTCAGTGGTTAGAGCATCGGCCAGTTGACTGAAGGGTTCCAGGTGCGATTCCAGCCAAGGGCATGTACCTCGGTTGCAGGCTCGATCCCCAGCCCTGGTTGCGGTGCATGCAGGAGGCAACCAATGGATGTGTCTCTCTCACATTGATGTTTCTCTCTCTCTCTCCCGCTCTCTGAAAAGCAATGGAAAAAATGGAAAAAATATCCTCAAGTGAGGATTAAAAAAAAAAAGATGACTCTCAGCCAAGTCCTGGAACTTTCCCTTCTCAGTGCCCCCACTAGGACCAAACCCCCATCATTCACAATGCTGATGCTGGACAACAGAGAACATGTGATCAGACTGGCTTCCGCTGACCACAGAGCATATCTTTTTTATTTTTAATAATAGTTTTGTTGTAATATAATTCAGACACCATAGCATTTACCCTTTAAAGAGCACACTTCAGTGTTTTCAGTACAGAGTTGCACAACCATCACTGGTATCTAATTCCTGAACATTTCATCACTCCCCAAAATACATTTTGCCTCTGGCTTCTTTCCCTTCCCATGGTGTCATCAGGTTTCACCTGTATAGAAGCAGGAATCACTACTTCATTATTATTCATAATAATAGTGCATTGTTCGGATATACCACATTTTTGTTTATCTATTCATCAGCTGATGGACATATGGGTTGTTTCCATTTTTTTACTATTATGAATAACGATGCTGTGCACATTCATGAACAAGTTTTTATGTGGACATATCTTTTCAATTATTTGTGGTATATACTGAGGAGTGGAATTTGAGTCATGTGGTAACTCTATGTTTAACATTTTGAGAAACTGCCAGACTGTTTTCCAAAGTGGCTTCATAATTTTACAATCCTGTGATCACTGCATGAGGCTTCCAATTTCCCCGTTTCCTTGTCAACACTTGGTATTGTCTGTCTTTTATAATTTAGCCATCCTAGTGGGTGGGAAGTGGTATCTCATTATGGTTTTTGATTTGCATCTTCCTGATGACTAATAATGTTGAGCATCTTTTCATAAAGTGTTGATTGGCTATTTGTATGTCTTTTTCGGAGAAATGTCTATCCAGATCCTTTGCCCCTTTTTAAATTGGATCATTTGTCTTTATTGTTGAGTTGTAAGGATTCTTGATCTATCTTGGATACAAGACCCTTATACAATATACGATTTGAAAATATTTTCTCTCATTCTATGGATTTTCTTTTCATGTCGATAGTATCCTTTGAAACACAAAAGTTGTTAATTTTTATGAAATCCAGTTTAGCTATTTTTTCTTTGGTTATTGTGCTTCAGGCATTATATCTAAAAAAACTATTGCCAAACTAATCCAAGTCATGAAGTTATACCTAAGTTTTTTGTAAGAAGCTTATAGTTTTTGCTCTAATATTCAGGTTTATGATCCATCTTTGGTTAATTTTTGTATGTGATATAAAACAGGGATCCAATTTCATTCTTTTGCATTAGGATATTTAGTTGTCATGATACCATTTGCTGAAAAAGGCTTGTTTCCCCATTGAATTGTCTCCTTGCCCTTGCCAAAAATCAATTGGCCTTAAATGTGAACTCTTATTTCTGGACTCTTTATTTTATGGATCCATTTGTCTGTGCTTACGCCAGTACCACGCTGTCTTGACTATTGTAGCTTTGTGATAAGTTTTAAAATCAGAAAGTGAGCTCTACAACCTTGCTCTTCCTTTCTGAGGTTGTTTGACTCTTCTAAGAGGCATGTCTTGCATCACAAGAGGATGTTGGGTGGCCGGGTTCCAGGCACCAAGGACCTGGCCTTTCCACCCTTCCCCGTCCGCCATCTTCGGTACAGGCTTCATCCTAGGCCATGACTTGCTTTCCTCATTTGAGGCAGGTTCAGTGGAGATATTCAAACAGGATCCTTAGCTTCTCTGGAGCACCAAGGGGCAAGTCCTCCTCCGCCCTGCTGTCCGGCAGCAGCAGTCCACAGTGAGCACGCCTCCGTCCTAGTCAAGAAGGACTTCTCACAAGAATGTCACAGATAGAATCAGGGCCACTCTGTGGCACTGTTCACGTTGAAGGCTACATAATTGGCATCCCCTGGGGCTTAACTCCTTCAGGTTGCAATATGAATGATACCGTGTATTAATTTCATCTTCTTCCCATGAAAAAGGAAACAATTGCACAGTGATGTCAGGGGGTCCCAGAGGTCTCCTGTAATGATCACTCAACCTAGATTTCGAGTCGCCTGCAGGTGCTCAGCACTGTGCTAGGTAAAGAGTTGGCGGTGGGGGGAGATAAAGGGTCACCTGGTCCTCAAGAAACGAATGCCTGTCCGAGAGGGGGCTAGGACAGTCAGGGTGTGCTGCACAGAGGAAGCAGTGTTAAGAGGCAGGTGTCCACATTCAAGAAGCCACACGAGGATCTAGACTCTGAGTCACCCAGCTCTGCCCCCACTGGGCTGTGTGGCTTCAGGCAAGTCAACCTCTCTGAACCTAGGTTCGCTCATTTGCCGATTGTCGCTGATACTACATCTTTTTTAGGGCCCTTGTGGAAGCTAAAGGAGGTGCAGGCAGATTTTGATTGCGCTTTGATCCCTGGGAATTGGCGTTAAGGACAGAGATTTATTTTTCCCCCCAGGAATTTATGTTGGACAAAAGGGAGACTGTGAAGTTTATCTCACTGCTCATGGAACCCAGAGTGTGCTGGTCAGATGACAGCCACAGTGACCAGAGGTTCAGAAGATACCCAAGATCCTTCAGGACATATCCAAGGAGTCAAGACTTCATCCCAAGGGCCCCCTCCCCCCGCACCCAGACTTCAGAGTACTCCAGCCTGTGCTGACCCAGCGGCGGCCACATGGGCCCTGCCAGCATCACGGCCATCTCCGTGCCTCCTCGGTCTCCTTTTCTCACCACCAGCGTCCGCGAGTGGGTGGGCGGGTCCTGGGGCCAGCTGGGGTGGGGGTGCCGTTCCCCATATCAGAGGATTGGCAGGATCAAGGTGAGGTCTGCCTGGGACCGTAGGGGGGAGAGAGGGGATCCTGATTGGAGGCGGCAGCCCTGGCTCCTGGTTGCTGATCTCCGGCCTGGGCCTTCCCACCTGGCTGCTGCCTCCAGCTCACCTCCCAAAGGCCCCACAGTTACCCTGGGGGTTAGGAATTCAACATGTGAATCGGGGGGTGGAGGGGCATGAGCATTCAGCCCATTGCAGAGACCTGCTCACATTCATGCTCTCTCAGCTCTCTTTCTCTCCCCACCAACCACTTTCCGAGGAGATCTGAAGTATCCCACTAGCCTCCCTGGAGCGTGGGTACACTCTAGGCCACTGATTCTTCGTCCAGAACATTCATCAGGAAGGCTCGTTACAGCGCACTCTGTGGCCCCACCCCAGGGGCTTCTGACCCAGCAGGTCTGGCCTGACGAGGCCTTAGAATTTGCATCTCTAACAAGATCCCAGGTGATGATGATGATGATGACGCTGGTCCCGGGCCCACACTTTGAGAGCTGCTGCTTTAGAGTCATGGCCAGTCCTAAATGCCTAAGCTGGGGTCTGACCCACCTGGAGCACATCTCCCCTGCCAGGGCTCCAGTTCCCCATCTGCACGATGGGGCTGCACCTGGCATTCTGGGAGGGCTGCCCCCACTCCCTCTAACCTGCCTAACCCCCTGCAAGGTGCTGGACATGGATCCAGGGGTCCAGGGGTCCAGGGCATGGATCGCTGGCTTTGTAACTTTGCCTGCTGGGGCTCTGTGGAGAGCTGGTTGTCCTTCTATCCCCTGCCATCAGCCTGCTGTGCATTTGTAGGTCAAGTTCGGATGTTTTGTCACACTCCTTGGGAAGCAGATGATCAGACACCTGGTGTGGCAGTGGCCTGGCATCGATCTACAATCTGACAAGCTCCCAGGTGGGTCTGATGCAGATGGGTCTCCACACACAGGGTGAGAAACAGGGGCATCTGAGTGTCAGAAAGAAGAAAACCTGGTCGTTCACCTAGTCTTCAGTCAGGAAGGACTTTGGAGGCATGAAAGCAACAGAAGGGACACCTAAATATAATTTGACCACAAAAAAATTAAAAATAATCTCAGAACACATCAAAAATATTTAAAGACAATAAACTAGGGAGAAATGTTGAGATATGTGAAAAAGGAACAATTTTTGATATTTTAAAAAACTCTTACAAAGTAAAAAAAAAAGACACCATTGTTTGTATTCAGAAAATCACAAAACAAATAAAAATGGCCTATAAACATGAAAAATATTTCAGCTTACTAAAAATAAAATTAAACCACATAATTGCTGCCCATCTAAAATATTTAAGCTAATATACTGCTGCTTGTAATTTAGGCTCTCCAACACGGTGATGCTCTTTGCATAATAGACTCTCTGGAAAGCAATTTGATAAGAGGCCTCAAGAGGCTTAAAATGTTTATGTCCTTTGGCTCAGTAATTCTAGGTCAAGAAATTTAAGTTAATAAAACCAATGCTATTTGGTTCCCAAATGGCAGAAAACCCCAACTCAACTGGGCTTAAGCCAAAAAGAGAATGCACTGGATTTTAAAATTGGAAGGCCAGGATTCTAGCTGCAGGCATAGCCTAATCAGGAGCTCATTGTGGACAGAATCCAGTCTCTGTCTCTGGGCTCTACAGGTTGGCTTCATTCTCAGGCTCAGCAGAAACAAGACAGTCAACTACCTTGACCTTGCGCCTCTAAAATTGAAATCAGAGGAGAAAAGAGAATGTCTCTCCCCAGTAAGTTCCTGCAAGTCCCAGGGTTCATTCTGATTGGATCACCTTGGGTCTTGTGCGCCCTTTAAACAAATCCTTGATTGGCCAGGCCTAGGCTACCAAATCTAGTCTAACCAGTCTCTGGAACTAGGGGGTATTCCATGCTCTGATGGCCACATCTGGGTCAAATTTTTATTTGAGTTTTAGTGAGGTGGAATATCTTTCCTGGCTAGAGGCCATTCCTCTGGAGCCAGTGGTGGGTGCCACATGAACTTCATGGACTGAAAGAAGGGGTCCAGTGTGGTTCTCCAAAGGGAAATCAAGCTACTGTTACCAGAGGGAAGTGGGGACTGGAGCCGGGCAAACAAAAGCAAGAAATGTTTGTTACAGATGCAACAAAGTGGCTGTACAAAGATGTCCACCGCATTGTTATTTATAGTAGCCAAGTTGGAAACAGCCTAAATAGCTCAGAGAAAGAGTTTAATAAATGATGCCCAAACTATATGATTTTATAATTCTGCAGCCATTAAATTACAAGTCCAAAAATATCTAAGATAAAGAAAAAATAGGATGTAAAGCAAAGTAGAAAAAGCAGGGATTTTTAAAAAGTAGACTATAAAGAAGTAAAATTGGTAGTTACAAAATAGTCATGCGGATGTAAAGTATAGCATAGAGAATATAGTTAATAATCTAATAACTATGTATAGTGCTAGGTGGGTACTAGGTTTACAGGGTGGGTGTGGGGAATCACTTCATAAATTATGTAAATGTCTAACCACTATGCTACACACCTGAAACTAATACAAAATAATATTGAATGTCAACTGTAATTGAAAAATAAAATAATTTTAAAAAGCAGAAATGAAAAAAATCCAATTATCTACATAGGCTCGTTTAACTGAAATAAATCAAGTTCAGTTTCTTTACAATCACTGTTCTATCATGTTGATACTATTTATGAAGGAATATATAGTACAAGGGGGCTGGGGACATGAACCAAAGTGAGCTGAAATGATTCTAAATCATTAAAAACTTACTCTAAAAAACAAAAAAGTAGACTATAAACCCAACTTGGTAAAAATTATAGATGTAAAAGAGAAGAGGGAAATACACTAAAGCAGTGATGCTAAGTGGGAGGAGCCTGGCCCTGGGGAGGAGTGAGAAGCATTAGTCTCCACCCCCCTGTGGCGGCAGCTGCATCCACATTCATCCCAGAGGCTCCTGGTGGGCAGAGTGTGTGCATCTCCACCTCTTGACTTCGAGTTGGCCCATGTGACTTACTTTGGCTAATAGGATGATAGTGGATTATGACTGGAGCAGAGGCTTAATGACTGTCGGTGGGGCTTGTCACCATGAGCTTAGTCATGAGCCTCTGGAAGCCCCCTGGTTGCAGAGGAATGAGACCATATGAAGCAGATATGGACCCAACCTGAAGCATGAATCCACCAAAATCACTCAGTTCTCAGCCAACCCACAGTGCCCTGAGTCAGAAATAAATGACTGTCATTGTAAGCCAGTGAAGTTTGAACTTGTTTGTTACGCAGCGTTATAGCAATAGCTGTCTGATACACCTGCACACCAAAGTCCATGCGCCAACCAAGGAATCACCAGTCTTTGGAGCCCGGTCTTCCTGATGGGCATGAACTGTGTCCCCGAGGAATGCTGAGATGTAGAGAAATGGCTAAGAACTCTGTCTGCCATGTTAGCCGTGGTTCGCTCTGTTAACCACAGTGGTTCGTTATTAGTGGTTAGCTCTGGAGTGTGGGATCCTAATTTTTTATTTTCTCCTTATACTTTTGTATATTTTCCAAAGTTTCTTTAATGAGCATGCTTAACTGTTATAACCAGAAAAAATACTTTATTCAAAATTGGAAAAATGAATTGGAAACCAACTCTTCTTGGCATCTCACTGGCCCTAACCTTTGGTGTCCCCAAGAACAGAGCTAATTATCAAGTCCTCACTCACAGAACTGTCTTCAGGTCTCTAGAGGCTGTATTCTTGGCCCCTGCATATTGTCCTTTCTCTAAGCTTGGCAGTCTGGTTTGGAGAATGTGGCTCCACTCTCTGAATGGGCCTCCGTTCGTCTCTAGCCTCATAACATGGTGTCCCAATCTGAGCTCCATTCTCCAGGTAAGGAAGTTGGCCAGACAGGAATGACAGGAAACATCTGGAAGAGGCTTCCTTGCTGTGGCCCAGCCTTCCTCCCACCCCCTCATCCGGGGGCCACACCCTGGCCTGCCCCGCTCTTGGCCAGGAATGGCCAGGTTACTTGGAGTCTTGTGCTCTGAGGCTGTCAGTGTGGCCAGGCCATAGGAACGTCTCACCTGTCCTCAAACCTGAACTTCCTGGCCCTGGTTTGCCCCCAGCTGCTTGGGTTCTCTGCACGACTCAGTACTGCGTGAGACACTGCGTTCAGAATCCAGAGACAGAGAGCCCGGGGTCCCCAACTGCACTGTGGAAGGGGACGTGTGAGGCCCAGAGCTGCGACTCCTTGGCCCCTGACTCTCTGTGCCTAACTCTCCAGGGCCTCACACAGAGCAGGTGCCCTGTGTTGGACCAGTGGGTGCATGTGAGTGAAACAAAAGAGCTAGGCTCCTGACGGCTGTCCCCAGGGTGAGAACTTCCCACGGTGGCTCAGAATGCCACTTACAGACCTGTACTCACTGAGTCCTCCTGCACCCATGCGCTAGAAAGCGTCGTTTTCCTGGCTCCACATCACAGAGGGGAAGCCAAGCTCAGTACAGTTATGTGGCTCATCCAAGGTCACACGGCTGCTCAGTGCTTGGGCAGGTATGTTAACTCAAGTCCACTGGCTCCCAGTGCAACAACTGTCGCTGTAACTGGGAATGGTTTGGTAGTAAAAAGAACTATAAGGACAAGGGGTGACATGCACTGGACACTTGCCATGTGCCAGGAACCTGAGCTTGTCGTCACTGACACAGCCTTCGCCCACCCTGCGAGAGTGACTCTCCCCAGTGTACACAAGAGGAGATGGGGACCCAAAGAGGTTAAGAGCTTGCCCGAGGTCGCACAGGCCGGGAGCCAGGCCCCACGTCTGTGTCCTTTCAGAGTCAGTGTGACAAGCTGAAGGTAGCACGGGTGTGAATCATGAACT